TCTAAATAATATCTAAACAATATCAAGGCGGGGGACATCAGATATTGGCTTCACACCTCATACCCATGTGGGGAATGAAAGCTTGGTCGAAGACCGAACGCTTTATCCAGATGCGCGTGAAATTACCCTCTTGCACACAATGGAAGCGACCCATGAAGAATGTTCCTTCAGTAACCCATGCTTGTCGTAAGAGGCGACTAAAGGAATCGGGTGGTCAGGCTCGCTGACTTGGTTGGCACATGTCATCGTATCCCAATTGCGTAGATTGATGCCCATGCTGTTGATCACGGGAGTGTCTGGTCCATGCAAGATTATTTGCAGACCGCCGCCAATTTCGCTGGAATATTGCTGAGTGTGGCGTTAAACAACAAACAACAACGTGTGTAGCTGACATACTTTGACAAGTCCAGTCTACGTTTTATCTCTTTACTGAAATTAGATATCCTTATATATAGACTCAGTGTATGAAATAAGCCAAAAATCCAGCCGGACATCAATATGATTTGATGGATTTAACCAGACCAGACAATCCACACAAAAACAACTCAATTTTAGTTACAATGAATAATTCAATGAACCTGAGACACGTATTTACTGTCTAACGGTCTATTCACAACAGGCATTTTCCGAGAAATCTGACTCCGTACATCGATAGGTGTCGCTGTTTTAGTGATAATATATGTTAACGTAGTGCTTTGAGCTTGCGATACGCCAGTTCAATGTTCAAACAGTAATTGTTAAGTCGAATTGTAATGCTCAATTTGAAGAATAGATTTTAAGATATGGTGAATTTACACAGAGTTTTGGAACATGTTATCTAAAATCTGTACCAGACCATCGGGCTGACTAGCTGTAAATTTAGACCCTCCGTCAGAAACCTAGCCCGTCTCGGACGGTCGGACGGGCCTTAATGCATCCACTGATATAGACCTAAAGACAGGTAATAGCTTTTTTAACAGACCTCGGTTTATAAAAAAACTACTGAACTCATATCAAGTCTACAAGTGTATATTGTCCCAACGGAACGTGACGTTAAATATACGATAATATAAAGCGACGTCATCCCAACAGAAAGCCAACTTAGCATATGAATCCACTTGGCGAGAAGACACACTGCGACACCAGGCCAGTATGGAATCCGAGAAGGGACATTGTCGCTATGTCGCATTGTCGCCCTCTCAAAAACAAGTAAAGTGAGGCAAAATAAACCAAAAATTGACACGCGACATCGCGACAACGCGACATTTATTATTTGTTTGTCGCATTGTCGCGATGTCGCATTTTGAATAATATTTTTCTATTCCTCCAAAGGGCGACACGCGACATAGCGACAATGCGACAACGCGACAATGTCCCTTCCAGGATTTCATAGGCCAGTGTGCAAGTAGACACAATGGTATGTCCTAATTCAGTAAATCAACTCTTGGCAACAGACGTGACCATGCACATTCACAGCTGTAAACTGTCACGTTGTTTGGTCAGGCAGTAATTACCTAATCATCAGTTTCGGTAAGCATGAACTAGCGAGTGAGTGAGTTTAGGTTTACGCCACACTCAGCAATATTCCAAATATATGGCGGCGGTTTGTAAATAATCCAGTGATCAACAGCATGAGCATCGATCTACGCAACTGGGATGCGATGACATGTGCCAACCAAGTCAGCAAGCCTGACCACCCGATCCTGGCAGTCGCCTCTTAGGACAAGCATGGATTGCTGGTCCAAATCTAACCCGGATCTTCACGGGTCAACGAACGAACGAACGAACGAAATTGGGAATCTACACGCAACAACAGTCGAATTCTCCTTTGCAACAGAAATCATATAGTTATAGTAATAGGCTTTCAAAAACAAGAGACCCGTGAAGGTCCGGGTTAGAATGATCCTTCAGTAACCCATGCTTGTCGTAAGAGGCGACTAACAGGATCGGGTGGTCAGGTTCGCTGGCTTGGTTGACAGATGTCATCGGTTCCCAATTGCGCAGATCGATGCTCATGCTGTTGGTCACTGGATTGTCTGGTCCAGACTCGATTATTTACAGACCGCCGCCATGAGCGCGGCGTAAAACTTAACTCACTCACTCAAAAACAAGAAAAATGTACGCCAAATCCGTCATGATCTTAAGGCAGTCAATCGGTGTTTTAAGGCATTTTACTGACGCTTTGAAAAGGACGCGACATAGATAATAAATGTTACTGAGATGATATCAAAGTGTGTCAAGCTTAATAGTTTGGATGATGAGTCAGAGAAAGAAAATAGGTTACAAGATGTTGTTACAATGACTTTCTGTTGACTTGTTTCCCTGTAGTGATCTGCGATTTGTCAGAGTTACAGATGGTTTAAACGGATGCAGAGAGTGAGTGAGTGAACTTGGTTTTACGCCGCTTTTAGCAATATTCCAGCAATATCACGGCACGGACACCAGAAATGGACTTCACACATTGTACCCATGTGGGGAATCGAACCCGACGAGCGAACGCTTTAACCACTAGGCTCCCCTACCGCCCCGGAATTAAACTTAGGACAGTGATTTGTCTGTCGTACTATTAAATAGAAACGACAACACCCTTTCCAAGAGACTCACTCACTCACTCTCTCACTCACTCACAAGCCACGAGAGCTTTTAGATGTCATGTTGACATCAAGTATCCATGTATGTTGAATCTATCAACATTCTCGTTTTCGATCGAGAACTTGTGTGTTCTGTACCACTGACTGAGTTTGGTTTTACGCCGCTTTACGCCGCTTTTAGCAATATTCCAGCAACATCACGGCGGGGTACACCAGAAATGGGCTTCACACAATGTACCCATGTGGGGATTCGAGCCCGGGTCTTAGGCGTGACGAGCCAACGCTTTAACCACTAGGCTACCCCACCGCCCGTGTTCTGTACCAAGTTTCCTTAGCTCACACCACAACGGGTAACACCGGAAACGTGACCTTCCTGGAAGCTCAAAGTTATGCTTCCCAGGAACCGGGCTTAAAAGTTAGTTCCATATCTGTCCTTTATATTCAGATAGTCACTACAATTGTGGTTACCGGCTTTTGTACTTTACGCCCACCCAAAGAAAATCCTTGATCGGAGTATACACCCATCTAAACAAACAACCAAATGATCATCTGCATGTGGCCCCACAACCGCCTGCTGAAACGACTCCGCGTTCCCTCCCTGAACGTACCCGTGAAGATCCGGGTTAGAATTGGTCTTCAGCAACCCATGCTTGTCGTAACGGGATCGGGTGGTCAGACTGACTGACTTGGTTGACACATGCCATCATATCCCAATTGCGCAGATCGATGCTCATGCTGTTGATCACTGGGTTGTCTGGTCCACATTGTGTTTGTAGACCGCCGCCATATAGCTGAAATATTGCTGAGTGCGGCGTTAATATACACAACAAACCAACCCGCCCTGAACCACTCCTCTTGTACCGCTCGTCCCAAGCATTAAAGAGCACTAGAAGAGGTCACAATTGAATTCTGGAAACCCATTTGTCCAGAACCTCTCCGCACTGTGTCCAAATTGTGACAAAGGATCCACACTATCGAGCTAGCTGTTTCCATGAATATATATACTAACGATAAAAAAATGAAAAATACATGTATATTATTATATTTTTCGAAAACAATAGAGGGCGGTGGGGTAGCCTAATGGTTAAAGCGTTGGCTCGTCACGCCGAAGACCTGGAATCCCCACATGGGTACAATGTGTGAAGCCCATTTCTGGTGTCCCCGCCGTGATGTTGCTGGAATTTGCTAAAGAAAGCGGCGTAAAAAGCAAACTCAGTCAGTCAGTCATTCTACAGACAAATGTGAGTGGAAGAAAAGGAAATAATAAATGGAATTTGAGGGAATAGTTTCTACGAAAAGTTCAGCATGGTCCTTGTATGACGTCACGCTTATCTAGGTGTACATCAGCAGGATTTCGTTATGAGCCAGGAATTCCAGTAGTCATTCTTCCTGCATTTGACCACGTGGAATCTGGCCACAGGTTTTACGCTGGTATGTTGATGTTTTCGACTTTTTCTAGCATTAGAGCATTCATTTTTAAGACTTCTAACTGACTTAATGAGAACATGTTGTTGATCGCAAGCAGAGTCAGAACATCATACCAGGGATCAAGACACAGTGAAATCTCGTGAATATTTTCATCGTCATCATCATCATCATCATCATCATCATCATCATCATCAATACGAGGGGCGGTGGGGTAGCCCAGAGGTTAAAGCATTCGCTCGTCACGCCGACGACCCGGGTTCGATAACCCACATGGGTACAATGTATATAAACCTGAAGGCTGCTTCTCACTATATATTAGACATGGCTTCTTTTCCCAGAATGACCGCATTTGAGGGTTTTGTTTTGCTCCCAGGTTTTACTTTTCGTAATTAAGACTTATTTCCCGGTTTTACTTTTTCGTAACTCTATATTAACATCAACATTCCAAATTCAGATGATATGTTAGTGTTTGAAATCAATTGAAAAATATCGTCAAAGATCAGCAAATGTGCAATTGTTTTCCCTAGCAGGATTGGTACCGTATATTTCAGATTCATAAGCGTACGCTCTACCTCACAGCCACCGGGCCGACAAAGAACGAGGGTTGAATTATGCATTTATAGTTAGGCCTACTGTCATTCAATTGATTTTACTAGCGCTTCAGCTACTGTTATGTAGCTTCATTACATGATCATCTAATTATCCATCACTGACGGTTTATATGTATAATAAAGCACTCCTCCTCGGTTATGGTTGGGAAAGTAAGCCCTCGACCATCGGATCTTACTTTCCCAACCATAACCTCTCGAGTCGTGCTTTATCCTACACCGTGTAAAGCCCATTTCTGGTGTTCCCCGTGGTGATATTGCTGGAATATTGCTAAAAGCGGCGTAAAACTAAACTCTCTCACTCACTCATCAATACGACGATATTCAGCACGCAACATACTGCAAACAACTTCGGAATTTCAACATAAAATACAAAACAACAAACAACCAAATCTTCTTGGTTCCACAGTAACTGTTGTCATTTATTGTCACTGAATGAACCATTATCACACACGAACCAGTTATCGGTCTGTCCCATCAGAGGCCAGCCTGTGGGGGGAACCTGTCTATCCTGAAGGGGGTAAGGCCGTACGAGGGCGTCTCCCCACACGCCAGCTGACCCAGTACCTTGCCCACCACAGGGGACAACTTGAACCCGTGACCTGGAAGAGAAGACAGCTATCATATGCATGTCTGTAATATTTACCCATGAAACATTAGATTTTCGAATTTAATTATTATTTAAATTACAATTTGATAATTTGACCCACCTGAGAAGCCGGCGCCGAGGACGATGTTGCGGGAGCTGGGAAGGTAGTCGATGACAGGGTGACAGTCAGGCGTGTTCTGAAACAGCATGATTGCTAATGATAAGAGTCTTAACCCGTGAAGATCCGGGTTAGAATTTGTCTGCGGTAGCCCATGATTGTAACAAGAGGCGACTAACCAGGTCCGGTGGGCAGGATTTCTGATTTGGTTGACACATATCATCGTATCGCAAGTTCGCAACTGTGTAGATCGATGCTCACGATGTCAATCACTGGATTATCTGGTTCAGACTCGATTATTTACAGACCGCCGTTATAAAGCTGGAAATTGGTAGGTGCGGCGTTAAACAACAAACAGACCTAGGAGCCCATCGGGCTCTGATTCTGTATAACTGCAACCACATGTTGCACGGTTCTCCGCACAAATGTTGGGTAATATTATGATATCATTTTTAAATTTCCAGTAACAATGATCTGAATAGCCCATTGAACGTACGAATGCTGAATATTATATCACGAGAAAGCACTATAAAAATAGTCCGTTTGGCATAGTGACACAGTGCACTGTTTGTTACGAGGGAGGAGTGCAGAGAAAGGGACAGCCAGGTGTTCGAGATGCACGTTCACAGGTTAATTTATTCATTAACCTGTGCTGTGCCGTCTCCATCCTTTCTCGAACACCTGGCTGTCCCTTTCTCTGCACTCCTCCCTCGTAACAAATAGTGAACTGTGTCAATATTTTAATGATAGATTGTTAAACAACTTTTTTATTTTTAGGCAAAAACCTCAATTCTTCAAAAACCTCACAGAGTTGGTATGATGTTTTGATTATGATCAGCGTTTCATTGAGTATTTTATGTTTATTAGTTTTCGAGTTAGATTGCAATTCATCGGTCCGCTTTTGAGCCAAACGGACTATACTTATGAATTATAAGCAGCATCCTCACGCAGCATAAGCGCGTTATTCACATTTCCAGCTACAGAGGTATACAGGGAATGAGTTCAATGTTTACCGAAGTCATGAAATATTTGTATCACACCAGCATCAGGAGTCGAACCCAGGACCAGGCTACCCAACCGCCCCTTGTGTTTCCAACATGTTTGTTTGTTCTTCAGCAACATTCAAGCGAATGACGACGGTCTTCAATTAATCCAGTCTCGATCAGCCAATCCGGTGATTGATATCATGAGCAGCTTAGTATCTACGCCTGGTACGACGACTCTCAATAAACCAAGTCCCCGATTCTGACGTCTTTTACGTCGCCTCAAACGATCAGCATAGGGTGTTGGAGGCCTTTTCCCACCCGGAATCCCCTTGAGGGGTGTCGAGGGTAGAAGATATGTTGTCTAACTGGGAGGGTCATATTAGGCTATGAAGACTGATGATGTATTTATAACGAACTTTTATTCATCAACATTGCAGTAGGGACTTATATGTTAAGGCACTGGAAACGTGTGTTTGTTTGTTTTTGGTTTAAGGCCGCACTCTGCAATATTTCAGCTATATGGTGGCGGTTTGTAAATAATCCAGACCGGACCAGAGAATCCAGTGATCAACAGCATGAGCATCGATCTAGGCAATGTTTTATTCGACGACTTGTTTAACGAAGTCAGCGAGCCTGACAATCCGTTCCCTTTAGTCGCCTCTTACGAGAAGCATAACCCATGCAGACCAATTTTAACCCGGATCTTCATGGGTGGCACTGAAAGAATGGGTGAATGATGTAGAATACCGTACCGTGTATATACATGTCTCAACAATAGACGGCGCTGGCTCCAGTCCAGGAAAGTGGTCTCGAACATAGTTCCTCATCCGATCAATCACCCACTTCGCGTCTACCTGGTCACGTGACTCGGCTTCCATTTCAGGACCGAGGTGAAGACAGATCTGCAGCAAATGCAACAAATTTCACTAATGTAGAAATGATTGGATAAATATTATTTAGGTCACTTTCTTTCACAGCTAATGAACACTACTTATGACACTGTTCAGTATAACAAAGAAAACAAAAAGAAGAGTTATTAGACACCTGTTCCGCTCCGGATTCTCAACTTGGAAATTAGGAACGGTTATCTGTTCCTACCTTCACGTATCTCTCCCTACCTTCACGTATCTCTCTCTACCTTCACGTAACTCTCCTTCCCGTCATGTATCTCTCCCTACCTTCACGTATATCTCTCCACCTTCACGTATCTCCCCTCAATATCACGTATCTCTCTCTACCTTCACGTATCTCTCCCTACCGAGTAACTTGGACACCTTCACGTATCCTCTTCCGAATTATTGGACCCTACCTTCACGGAATCTCTCTCTACCTTACGTAACTCTCCTTCCCTAAGTTCACGTATCTCTCCCTACCTTCACGTATCTCTCTCTACCTTCACGTAACTCTCCTTCCCGTCACGTATCTCTCCCTACCTTCACGTATCTCTCCTCTACCTTCACGTATCTCTCTCTACCTTCACGTATCTCCCCTCAACTTCACGTATCTCTCTCTACCTTCACGTATCTCCCCTCAAATTCACGTATCTCTCTCTACCTTAACGTAACTCTCCTTCCCTTCACGTATCTCTCCCTACCTTCACGTATCTCTCCCTACCTTCACGTATCTCTCCCTACCTTCACGTATCTCTCTCTACCATCACGTAACTCTCCTTCCCTTCACGTATCTCTCCCTACCTCTACGTATCTCTCTCTACCTTCACGTATCTCTCCCTACCTTCACGTATCTCTCCCTACCTTCACGTATCTCTCCCTACCTCCTACCTTCACGCATCTCTCCCAGCACCTTCACGTATCTCTCCCTACCTTCACGTATCTCTCATTACCTTCACGTATCTCTCCCTACCTTCACGTATCTCTCCCTACCTTCACGTATCTCTCCCTACCTTCACGTATCTCTCACTACCTTCACGTAACTCTCCCTACCTTCACGTAACTCTCCTTCCCTTCACGTATCTCTCCCTACCTTCACGTAACTCTCCCTACCTTCACGTATCTCTCCCTACCTTCACGTATCTTCCCTTACCTTCACATGTCCGGGGTACTCCTCGCTTGGAAGACCGTAAATAGGGTAACCATCATTGTCTTCATAAAATGTTGGCAGTTTACTAGCGCCATGACTACCCGGCTGTCGCTCCTTCCAGTACAACACACAGATCCGTACAACCTGGTTAGACAATCAATACTTCAGTACAACACACAGATCCGTACAACCTGGTTAGATGCTCAATACTTCAATACATGCCAGACAAATTGATAACGCGTAAGGTTTCTAGCAGTTAAAGGGATGGTATAAATCCAGCTAGGATCTGCAACCGTGCAGATGCGTGTAGTAGAAATCTCCACGGTCCCTAGTAGTACTAGTATCGTGGCTTTGGTTGCAATTGATCTCTGGCCCCTTTTATATATACAGTGTTAGTAACTAAACGTTTTTAATTTTCACATGCTCTCTGACTGGTTTTAAGTATATAATCTGATAATCTGGTTTTATCCTGTCCTCAGCTGAGCGAATTTTTACACCGTATAGATATATATAATGTATACTTTTCCCCTGGTCATGGCATGGCTGAGATATTTGCCGATATGATGAAGATTTTGACTCACTCCACTCATTTATTCATTTCAAAACATACTGACCACAAGGAATACATCTTACATGAATACATGATAACACGGACAAGTCCATGCATCTCTGCTGATAAAACCGCCTCCGCAGTGTAGTGGTCACAGCGTGCGCCCGGAGACTGGAAGGTCGCGGAATCGATCCCCGGCCGTGTCATACCAAAGACGTTAAAATATGGAACTTGTTGGTCCCTGCCTGGCGCTTGGCATTAATGGGAAAAGGACTGGTCGGCTCAGGTCAGTATAATAATGTCTGAGTGGGGTATTAAAAATAACCAGACTTGAGACAGCGAACCATTGGAATTTACGCTTATCTTCACAATTTTCCATATGGGAAACGCCAGAAAAGAATTCAGAAATTGTACCCATGTGAGGAATCAAACCAGGGTCTTCGACGTGACGAGCGAACGCTGTAACCACTTGGCTATCCCAGTATCCCTTACAAAATATAGTGAGTGAGTTTAGTTTTACGCCGCTTTTAGCAATATTCCAGCAATACCACGGCGGGGGACACCAGGAATTGGCTTCACGCATAGTACCCATGTGGAGAATCGAATCCGGGTCCTCGGCGTGACGAGATCATTAGGCTACCCCACCGCCCCTACAAGACAATGCAAATCTGTATAACCTATTACCAAGGACGTACAATAATAGGGTGGTACAGGGCTGTGAAAGTACGCTGGTCTACTCTGTATTTTCAAGCTGCGACACATATACTGGACTACATTAACGGGATCGGGTGGCTGACGTGGTTGACACATGTCATCTTTTCCCAATTGCGAATCAATATTCATGATGATGATCACTGGATTGTCTGATCTAGGCTGATTATTTACAGACCGCGGCCATATGGCTGGAATATTGCGAAGTGCGACGTAACACAACAAATAAACAAAACTAGTTTGACCAATAGCGACACACTGGTAAATATTTTCTAACGAAATGAAAGATACTGGCGAAGGGATAAAGACGATTTGAAGACATCACATTCGCAATTCCCCAAACAGGCCTCTTGCTGAGACATTAATTACTGAGCCATGCCCAGGTGAACAGAATTACCTTAAGTGGAAGCTTGACCCCAAATGGACGAAGTATATGGGACGCCCAGGGTCCTGGACATATGATCACGCTTCTACCCCGGTAACTGGCGTTGGGCGTGTCCAGGGTAACAATGTTACCACGTCTGATATTGGTTACCTTGGCACCGTCGATAAGCCGTCCGCCATATTTTTGGAACATCCCCTGAAACAGTTAATCAGTTATGGGTTACTTCACCTTCAGACCGTGATCAAAGACATGCAGTATGTGGCACGGCTCCCGCGGCGGAAAGCTATCAATATCTAATGCCATTTAGAAAGTGGTCAAATGTAACACATGTTATATTTGGGATTACAATTGGGAGCTGTGCCAATTTACACTTGTGAGAGGGGTACACAAAGTCTGTGGTCCAGACTACCAGTTGTCCGAGTTCATTTTTTAACATGTGTTACATTTGACCACTTTCTAAATGGCACTGTATATTCACAATACTCGTATTTCAACAGTATTATATTTCTCCATCGAGTTTTGATGTCATCGGTGCTTTGCCTTTCACATCCCTATTCATTTATGAGGTGAGGTGAGGTGAGGTGAGGTGAGGCGTGACGAATAAACCGTTAACCTCTAGACTACTCCATGGTCCCTTGCGATAAGTACTATCGTATCCCGCCAGGTGGACAAGCCAATGATACCAGGGCCTATATTTTTTTCTTAGCGAAGCTCTCTTAGCGCCATACATTAACGATAGTCTTAAGCGCCATACATTTCTACGTTAACAACCTTACGACTATCTTAAGCGCTTAATGAATGGGAGTTACGGTAACCTTGGCGCTAAGATCGCTTTGCCACAACGGCACCCTGGTCTTTGCTACCAGGGTTGAATGGATGAAGCAGCAAGCAGACTGATGTGAATTGATATTTTTCAGAATAATTGTGGATAAAGTACATCCGTTTTACTGATGTACTTAATCAGCTGTGAGGTGGGGTGAAATGGGGTTTAACGTCGTACTTAAGAATAGTTCGCTCGTATGACGACGTACATGCGTGTGTATGTGTGGCTGCTTGTACTAGCCCAGACCTAAGCTGGTTTTATAGTGCTAGCTCACTGAGATACCATGCCGCAGTTTAGCATGAATACCCCACTCAGACACATTATACTGACTCCGAGCCGACCAGTCCTTTTTCCCATTAATGCCAAGCGCCAGGCAGGGACCAACAAGTTCCATATTTTAACGTCTTTTGGTATGACACGGCCGGGGATCGAACCCGCGACCTTCCACTCTCCGGGCGCACGCTGTAACCACTACACTGCGGAGGCGGTTTTATCAGCAGAGATGCATGGACTTGTCCGTGTTATCATGTATTCATGTAAGGTGTATTCCTTGTGGTTAATATGTTTTGAATCAATAAATGAGTGAGTGAGTAAAAATTTACATCATATCGGCAATATCTCAGCCATGCCATGACCAGGGAAAAGTATACATTATATATCTATGTAAAATTCGCTCAAAGGACAGGATAAAAACCAGATTATCAGATTTTATACTTAAAACCAGTCAGAGAGCATGTGAAAATTGAAAAAACTTTTAGTTACTAACACTGTATAAAAAGGGGCCAGAGATCAATTGCAACCAAAGCCACGATACTAGTACTACTAGGGACCGTGGAGATTTCTACTACACGTGCATCTGCACGGTTGCAGATCCCTAGCTGGATTTATACCATCCCTTTAACTGCTAGAAACCTTACGCGTTATCAATTTGTCTGGCATGTTCAAATGTACTGCGATTAAAAACGGTGATGGATATAACTTTGAATGTGCCGAAAGGTCAATTGCTGATAGCAAATAACATCGAAGAATTTGGCGTCTTTTAAACTTTCAAAGGCATTACATTTAATTGTAGTGGGTGTTTGTGAGGTCTATTTTTTCTACAAAAATGAATATATTTTGTCTTATATAGCATCATCCTCAATAATCTCCAGGGTATACGTTCCGATAAATCTCCACTAGTACCCTGGATGCATCTACAGCTCGGCTCGATAATTGTATTACCTCCCTTTGCTGGCCTTTTATCCAATCAGGTGTCTACGCTGGGAAGTTGAGCGTACCAATCACAAGGCTTCTATCATAACTCACTTTCGCTTCTTTTATCTAACCGATTAAACTTGGCAACACAAATGTTGCAGAGATACTCTGAAAGAGATAGAAGGAGTTCTTGCATATACATGTATCCTGTCAATTTGTCTGTGTGATTTTCCCCTAAATCGGAGTCGCACAGCGAGCAAACCTTCGCTGCTTCTACCACCATCTTTAACACTGGCAAGCTCGGTTGTAACGGCATGTGTGAGAATGCTACTGTGAAAAAGCTGAGCCAGCAAAGGGAGGTAATAAATACACTCATGTGCCATATTAAAGTTCACAAAATGGCCGTCCCGAATTTTCACTAACTGTGCTGGGATGTAAATAAAGTTTGATTTGAACATAATGCCTGAAGCCACTTACCTGATATTTTCAGTATTTAGTAATACAGCCATTTACTGCATGTACAGCCCTCATTCGCTTAGGTAGAGTAGAATACAGTGATTTTATGTACTCTGGAGTAAGTGATGTCCAGATACCTTGAACATGATCTATCAGATCCTGCTTGGTATTTATTTCATGTGAATGTCTTAAATACCCTGATAGCCTGATTGTCAGAGTTCTCCATACATTTTAAGTAATATTACAGCCTGGGGACTGAGGAGGCCAATTAATTGTCTGAATGTCATTCTCACGTTTCCACTGAATTGTCTATCTAGAAACATGGACAGGACGACAATTGTCCTCTTGAAATATATAGCCCCAATATGCTGGAACATTGGCTATTACTGGCCAAAGGTTGCTGTCCAGTATATCTATATACTTTGTAGAGTTGATATGACCATCTACATCGACAAGGGTTCCAACACCTGCAAAACAAATACACCCCCAGAACATCACACTGAGACGTGGGGCAATTTTTATCCGTATACACACCAAGTCACCGGGGTTTCCACTTTTCTTCATTAGTCCTCCAAACAAAAACTTTCAGATGTTTTACTAAACAACTTGAGTCTTGTCTGAAAATATTACCCAAGACCAATCTCTGTTCACATTCCATCTCAAATGTGTTCTGGCAAAGGCTCTGCTCTTGAACCTGTTTTTCTTCTTCACAGCTCTTCTATGAAAACCATTTGCATGAAGACGCCTTTGTATTGTCCTCTTCGATAGTCTTACTTGAGATGTCTGGTTCCAAAGTGAAGATATATCCTGAAGAGACATTCTCCTATTACACTTAACAATCTTCAATACAGCTCTAGTATCTCTGTCAGTTGAGTTTCTTCTCCTGCCACTTCTTTGACGATTTTCTGTATTTCCTCCTTGAGAAAACCTCTTCAGAAATTTAGAGACAGTAAACCTATTAATTCCAGTTATTGTACCTATTTCACGTCCACTCTTTCCTTCTGAATTCAAACTTAATATGATCTTTTTCTGATAGGCAGTAAGATCTTTCCCTCTAGGTGCCATGACACTTTGAGCAGACGTCATACCAAGCACTTGAGAGTTATTCCCCTTTTGTTTACAAAATGTAACAGGTGTTAAGTCAAATTTGTACCCCCAAAACTTTCATACCCTATAACTATTGCTAAGATGAAATAAACTTTCATTTAAAAGAACCAGCTACTGTTGGCAAGAATCACAGCGGCCATTTTGTGAACTTGAATATGGCACATGAGTGAAGGTCCGCTCCTGAAAATGGAGGACGGTGATGCGTGTATACTTCAGCTTATATCACCTGGTAAGCAAGGAGCGCCTTGTCAGCCCGAAGAATTCCCCCGTCGGGGTCCACGATAGCGGCGTAGTTGTCGGGGTATGCCAGCATGGGGTAACGACGGCGGAAGTCAAGGGGTGGGAGGTACTGGAACGAAGCGCCGTGCCGCGTGAGGGAACTCACGTTATCCTGAAGGAAGACACCGTTATGTTCCCCCATCGCCAGGTAACCAGTGGGTCTACAGAGGAAATAATGCGTCAGTATCAACATGTCATGCTTCAGAGAAAAGACAATTATCTCAATAACGCTCACCCAGCCACAGTCCTCGAATACACACATCCCACCTGGGCTCTCTCCTCAACTCAACGCCTCCTACCCGGGCTCTCTCCTCAACTCAACGCCTCCTACCCACTCTCTCCCCTCATCTGAACATCTCCCACCCAGCTTCTCTCCTCACCACAACACCTCCCACCCGGCTTCTCACCTCACATCAACACCTCCCACCCGGCCGCTCTCCTCACCTGAACACCTCCCATCCGTCCTCTCTCCTCACCTCAACACCTCCCACCCGGCTTCTCACCTCACCTCAACACCTTCCACCCGGCCTCTCTCCTCTCCTGAACACCTCCCAACCGGCTTCTCTCCTGACCTCAACATCTCCCATCCAGTCTCTCTCCTCACCCGAATACCTGCAACCCGGCTTCTGTCCTCACCTCAACACCTTCCACCCGGCCTCTCTCCTAGCTGAACACCTCCAACCCGGCTTCTCTCCACACCTCAACACCTCCCACTCGGCCTTTCTCCTCACCTCAACACCTCCCACCCGGCTTCTCTCCTCACCTTCTCGCCTCAACTCAACACCTCCCATCCAGCTTCTCACCTCACCTGAACACCTTCCACCCGGCTTCTCACTTCACCTGAACACTCCCACACGGCCTCTCTCCTCATCTGAACACCTCCCATCCGGCTTCTCACCTCACCCCAACACTTCCCACCTCACCTGAACACACCCCACCCACCCCCCATCCGGCTTCTCTCCTTACCTGAACACCTCCCACCCGGCCTCTCTCCTCACCTGAACACCTCCCACACGGCCTCTCTCCTCACCTGAACACCTCCCACACGGCCTCTCTCCTCACCTGAACACCTCCCACACGGCCTCTCTCCTCACCTGAACACCTCCTCCCACACACCTGGCCTCTCTCCTCACCTGAACACCTCCCACACGGCCTCTCTCCTCACCTGAACACCTCCCACACGGCCTCTCTCCTCACCTGAACACCTCCCACACGGCCTCTCTCCTCACCTGAACACCTCCCACACGGCCTCTCTCCTCACCTGAACACCTCCCACACGGCCTCTCTCCTCACCTGAACACCTCTCTCCTCCCTCACCTGAACACCTCCCACACGGCCTCTCTCCTCACCTGAACACCTCCCACACGGCCTCTCTCCTCACCTGAACACCTCCCACACGGCCTCTCTCCTCACCTGAACACCTCCCACACGGCCTCTCTCCTCACCTGAACACCTCTCCCCACCTGAACACCTCCCACACGGCCTCTCTCCTCACCTGAACACCTCCCACACGGCTTCTCTCCTCACCTGAACACCTCCCACCCGGCTTCCTTCTCGAGCTGCCGCCAGATGTCGGTGGCTTCATGCATCATCTCTGTGTAGAAGTCCTGGGAGTAGGCCTTGCGGGTGATGCGGGACTGACCGTGGGAGCTGCCCCGGCTGTGTGGAAGGGGGAACTGAAATACGAGGGGTTGGCTTTCACATCACACAGGCGGTTACGTAAAGACGCATTACTAGTCATGTGGTTCTAGGCCCCGATCCACAAAGTGTTCGTAATGTTACGACATGTCGTAACTCTATATTTCTACCATAATCCTACGACTGTCGTACACACTTTGTGGACTTTGACCCAGTGCCTTAGATTGTTCTAATAGAGCAGACACGGAAACGTGTGTAAACACCGAGTAATTCTATCCTGCTTCACGAATGTAGGGAAGGTGTTAAGCTTTGATCATTTATCTTATCTTCTGCCACGAGTTAAAATACGCGTGAGCATAGTTTTACACCGCTGTTAGCAATATCTAAACAATACCATCAGCTATGAGCTTCACACGTTGCAACCATGTTGGGAATCGAACCTGGGTCTTGTTGGCGAGCGAGCGAACGCTTTGCCCTGTTGCCCTGATTCGTGTGAAATTACCCACGTGTACAACATGGAAGCACACATATATAGATAAGGCTTGTAGCTGGTATGGCCTGGTCTGGAGACCCAAGGTAATACGTATTTTTCCGTTCTATATATAAATAAGGCGACGAGATTTAGACCCAGATACCAGCAATCTGCAGCATTTGATACGAATCCCAAATCGTCAGAGGTGAAAATCAACATGATCTATAGCTACAGCTCTACCGATTCGTGTATGTCCCGTTTCGTATTTACCATACACACATTCAACGTGAATACGTTCATCATAACCATGTAGGTCAAGCGTGTGGATAGCGATTTATGAAATAATATTTACCTGTTCTAGCAACAGGGTCTTCTTCCCCCTCTTGGCCAGGTAATAGGCTGCTGCCGACCCCTCCACGCCGGCTCCCACAACCACAACGTCGTACACTACATCAGACATCGTCGACTGCGTCAGATCTACCAGAACGTGCAGCTGCAGTTATAAATATGGAGACGTGTTCATTATCTAGGACGCTGCTGGGTCGGCTTGTCTTATTGTCCTTGAAAGTGTAATTTGTCCTAAGCGAGGTGGAGATGTTTACGTAAATGAAGGCTAGATTTCCTTGTATTATGGGTCGTCGTGCTTTGGGTGATGTGTGTTGACATTATACGCCGCTAGGTTATTCCAGATACATTTGCAAACAGAGCCGCTCGTGTCGTGTCATAACCTGGGGTGACTATTGACGTGGATACAGCTATTACGATAGCGATAGTCTATTATTGTGACATTATTGTGACAAGGGGTGTGACGTGGCAACATGGCGGTTAACATTGCTATGAGTCTCACTCTGTTTTAAAATACAAGTTTTAGCGCTACAAGAGACATCTAGTTACACTATGTGGTTAGTATTTGAACTGTTTACCCACTAAGATGTCTAAAGGCAAACATAGCGATTCTCGAAAGGCTAACAAGAAGAAAAAGAGTCCCTATCGTCAGTGAGCGAGACAGACACGAATATGGGTGACACCCCGAGCCCACCCGCTTCTCAAGAAAGGAGCACGAGGAACCTGGTACGGCAATCTATGGACACGTTGTACTCTCAGGAACATATATTACAGCCCCATGTTTACCCTGCCCCCCAGGGACACTACAACCACCCAGGCCCCACACCTTACACTGGCCCCAACTACACCTACGCCGCTCCCACCCCGGTACCCGACATGACACTCATTATAGCCAAACTTGAAGGTATGGATAAGACACTGAGTAAACTGGACAAGATCGTAGCCGATATTTCATCCATCAAAGCTGACGTAGCCTCGTTAGAGATACGTGTGAGGGAGTTTGAGGAGGTGAGGGGGAGGGTTGACAAGTTAGAGGAGAGTGTCTCATTTGTCAGTGCTAGTTTCTTGGGGAACAGACAAAACTAGAATTGAAGGGGATGTTAAACAATTAAAGGACCAACTTCTATCTCAAGACAGGACACAAGACTCTTTCAAATTAGACATTTTTTAACTTACCTTACCAAAGGTCTTATGCATATTACCTTAAGCTCCGCTTAGAAGAGATCAGACAGTCGTTGATTCGCCATTCTCTAGAATGGCTGCCTCAGGTATCTACGAGTGTTTAGGCACGGAAGTGACGTCGTCTCCCCTCTCGCGCAAGCGCGGTCTATCCAAAAATCACTTTTACTTTAAGCGTGCTACATGTCAGACGTTTGTTTTCGCTAGCTTGTTACGTACTTTCTCTTTCAGATTTAAGTTATTGATTGCTTTTTGGTAGGTATGTTTTTTATTTCTTATTATTCTTCTCTGTGAGGGTGAAGAATATAATAAAAGTAAACTTCACCTACCTGGCTCATAGGCGCCTGACTCTGATATATTTATAAGTATGATCTATATATATAAGATATAAGAAAGATGTGTCAGTAAACGAAACAAAATGGCGGCTCGGCTCGGCTGGGTTTCGGTCTGACAAACGCTTCCATCGCTTTGACCGTTGAATAAACTGCACAATTTATGCTCAGTTGACCTCTGTAAAGTACCTTGCGTATCACTAACATGGTGATTATATTCTCATTTAAAGCTTTCAATAATTTTGCCGTCCATTCTCGCACGAATTCAGGACATATGCCCAGAAGTATACAAATCTCAGGCTACGGACCCGCACCGAATAGTAGAGCGAGTATCTGATTGGATAATATAGTCGCACGTTAAAAGAGGTGGGAATAATAGAAGACGCTATCCAATCAGAGACTCGCTCTGCTATTCGGTGCGGGTCTGTATCCTAAAATTTGTTTATTTCCGGGCATATGTCCTGACTTGATGCATGTTTGATGTATTGCATACTCCTATGTCTGTGTCTCTTTCATCATAATGTTCATGCTTGGTGTTGTATTCCTTCATATTTTTGCCTAATTTTGTGTTTTTATCACACGCTTCTCGGCTCAGTGGGGGCAGCCATCTTGGTTGTTTCTCTACTGTCTCGCCTGCTTAGACGTGCCCATTCTTGCTGTAGGGGGTGCTTCCATTTTACCTGCAGGGGTTTTTTTCGTTGTGTGTTTACGTTTTGTTACGTTTCCACTTTTTTTTGTGTTACAGCTTTGTGCATGACCCAGCAGTTTTGTAACATCTGCAGGGTGCAGAAATCTGCCAAGGATCCCCACCCGTGGTGTCCGGACAGCGCCACTGTCGTCTGTTCCCCTGACCAGCGCTGCTTTTTTTGCTCTCCGTTGTCTGTTGCTGATTTCAGGCCTACAAAGCAGCCAAGAAGAAACGGTTATCACAGCGCAAGAGGAAGATGTCGTCTCCTGGTTCTTCAGTGGGATCCCGATCCCCTCTTCCTCGGACGCCGGATGGACGTTCCTCTCCTGCAACAGTACAGACGCCTACCCCTGCGCTTCGTATGTTGACGCCTGACCCCAACAACCGTCCGGCGCTTTTGTTGATTTGTCTCGGCCAGATGCTCTATCACATCCGGAGGTTCAGAAGCTTTTGAGGACGCTCCTCTTGCCGGCTGCAGTGGAAGCCCAAGCCAGCGCCGTGCCAGCGCCTAGCGCTGCCCCTACGCCTAGCGCACTCCCGGCGCCGACGACTACAGCGCTCAGCTCTGATGTGGCTGGGTTGTTTTCTCAACCAGCGCTTTTGCCAGGGCCGACGCCAACGCCTATGTCGACGACAGTGCCTACGCCAACGCCATTGCCGACGCCAATGCCGACGCCGCTGGCAGGCTTCCATATCCCTAAGAAGACACCTGTCTCTACGTTGTCTAGAGAGGAAGACTTGCAGCGGCAATTAGTGGAAGAGCGTTCCCGATGCCAGGAGGCTGAGCGTTCCAGGCGTTCTAGGCATTCAGGCTCTAGGTCTCCTCGTCACCGCCGTTGATCCAGGAACCCTCGTCTTAGCTCTGATTCTTGTCATCGCCGGTGTCGTTCCGTTTCCAGGTCTCGCTCACCTAGACGTTCCAACGATAGGGAGAGGCGTTCTAGGTCGCCGACTCGTGGGAGGCGTTATCATCGGTCCCGTTTTAGGCCTCCTCCTGTGCGCCGCTCGCTGTGACGACCACGTTCTCCGACAGTTACGTTTAGCACTGATTCTCAGGTTTCATCAGAGCGCCCGACGCCTGCTGTCTTTGGCCAACGCTAAAATGCTCCGGCCGTGTGTTGGGACGACAATGATGAGCGTTATTTCTCTCCCGACTATAATGAGGAGACGTTACCAAAGGAAGAAGATGTGGGTACCTACCTCCCCCTATCCTCCGTGTTTGACTGGTTTGCTGATAGACTGCCGGACTGCCCTTCTCCCTCTTCAGGTGACAACTCGAGAGCTATTAGGACTTCTCCTGAATTACTCCTCCCGCCTCACCCGATGGTAGCCGATGCTGTGGCTTCTTTAGATGCGGATTTTGCAAAGCTTTCTCTCAATACGACTTTTAAGGCTCCTAAGTCACGGAAAGGAGACTATAAGATACATAGTTTGGATTTTGCCGATGGAGGCGCGGCTCACGATGAATCTCTCCGACGTTTATCGGGTTCTCCACAGTCGTCTTATCGTGTACAAGATTCCAAGATGTTAGCCATTGATGCAGAACTTAAGAGGACGTTAAAGCCCGTTTCGGCGTTGGCCTCAGCAACTTCGGCTGCTGCTTTGAATCTTACTGAAGACAATACGTCGAGGATTGAACACCTTACCACCCTGTTCCAGTGGCAGGGTAAGGTACTTCATGGTTTGCTGGCACACCTCAGGACGGCGTTGGCCATGACTACAGCTGTTAGGCGTACAGGTTTCCTCGAGCCTTGTTCCTGGCAGGAAGAGTTTAAAAGGAAACTCCTGAGAGCCCCTTTTGCGTCTCGCTTCATATTCGATGAAACATTCCCGAAGTCTATAAAGAACATGCAGAGCTTACGAATACGGCAGCGGCAGTGTTGGGTCATAAAGGTAAATGCACGTGCAGTTCATGATAGTTACCTGTGCACTGCACAGTGATAGACCGTTTGGATCATTCACATTGACTACTTCTAGCTGTCATCATGAAAGCTTATTCAGATGATGCTAAACGTTTAATTAGAAATGTGTTGAATTTTGTTTAAAAAGAGAGCAAACGTAGCAAACCGATTTATAAGGTGTCGGATTACATGAAACGTACAACTTTTGCTCTTGGCATGAAAAAGAACATCGTGCTAAAAATTGTGAAAAATAAACCAACAACCAATAAACAAAACCTTGTACAAAAAGGTAGGCATCCAAAGTTAGATTCTTTTAACATCAGGGTCATCAGCATAGCTGACCTACATTGACGAACGTTGACCTTTATGACCCAACACTGACGCTGTTACAGGTCATTGGCTCCCTCCCTCTGCAATCAGTCTGCGTTCTGCTGTTTATTTTTTTGACAGTTACATAGACAGATTCTTTAATACAAATGCATAAAATCGGTGATTTACAATGTGATTAGGTTGTCTGACAAAACATCCACTTGCACAGTTTGAGATCGATTGGATCATTGGATGAAGAGATATTTACAAAAAACCGGGTCCACATGCATTTCATGCCAAACTAATGATGGTTCATCAAGTTCTGCCAGTGAACTAAAATTTATCAATCTAAATGTATGTGAGCTGAGAAGAAAACTGCAGTATCCTGAATTCACTTCTCTATTAAACAAAGCTGATATAATTGGCCTACAAGAAACAAAAACAGATTCGCTTGATGAGCTAGAAATTGAAGGCTACAAATTATATCTTCACCATAGACCAGGCTTCCGTAGGAAGTCTGGTGGTATTGGGTTAGCAGTAAGAAACACCTTTTCTGACCATATCTCATTATATAACCATGAATGTGAATATATTATCTGGTATAGAATATCTAAAGAATTGCTCAATGTTGATAATGATCTTTATCTAGGTAATGTGTATTTACCACCAGATAGTTCTAGATATGCAAAAGATGATATGTTTCCCCTTGTAGAACAATCCATTTTACAAATGCTTGCTAAGAGTGATTACATTTTACTTATGGGTGATTTCAATGCTAGGACTAGACTATTGAAAGAGTATTGCACAGTTGACAAGCATATAATTGAAGAACTTGATATTGATATTGAAACTATGACAGATATTTTTGAACCTGAAAATATTCTTAATGCCTCTTCTCTCCCTATAACAAGAGCTAACTAAGATTTAGGAAAAGTTAATGCTTCAGGACTTAAGCTCATAGAGCTTTGTAAAACCACTAATATGTTTATATGCAATGGGAGACTATACAAAGATAAGGATAAAGGTAAAGTGACATGTAATGACTCAAGTTTAATTGACTATGTTTTATCCTCGCCACAATGTCTTCCATGTTTTGTTGATTTTGATGTTATTGATTTTTCACCTTTGTATTCAGATGTTCACTCTCCCATCACTTTCTCATTAAATATAGAATTAAACTCTAACTCAAAACAACCTGAGAATAGGCGGGGAAATGTAACAAACAATTCACCTAAAGAAGTTTCTACAAAACCAAAGCGGTATGACATAAATGAAGCAAAACATTTGTAAATAATATTAACAAAAACTCTGTCCTGGAATTAATCCATTTATTGCAATCAACATCAAGTCACGACGACCCAGCACGTGCAGTCAATGACTTTGCCTCTGGGTTAGCGCACCTTCTGGCTGACGCAGCACGTGCAACATTTGGTGTGAGACGCTCGCCTCCACCAGTGTCGACACGAGATTGCAATAATAAGCCTTGGTTTGGAAAAGAATGTCGAGAAAAACGTAAATGCTTTCAAAAATCAAAACGTTGGTATTTTAAAAGTAAGACGAATTCTAATAAGGCTGAATATCGCCGATGTTCAAAAGAATATAAGAAATGTCTGAATAAACATATAAACAAGTATAAAATGAATTCTCCCCCTGGATCAGAAAAAAACAAAAACATTCCCCTAAAGAATTCTGGAAAATACTAACAAAAAGTAACAAATATGATAATTCTGAAATACCAGACATAAATTAACTCTTTGAACATTTCAACTATATCAATAGTAAACAGACTACTCCTGATTTTGAAATAGATCAAGAAATTAAAGATTATGATGATCACATATTAAATGATGATATTACTTTGACAAAAGTGACATGCTATCAAAAAGCTAAAACGAAATAAATCTTCTGGTATTGATGGCATTGAAAATGACTATCTTATTGATTCCTCTGATCTACTTGGTCCTTTGTTTGTTGATTATTTCAATTTGATATTCTCCACAGGAATAATGCCTGAAGCATGGTTGACTGGCTCTATTAGACCTATATACAAAGGTAAAGGCCAGGTTTTAGCAAAGAACATTCCACAAACGACAACATATTTGTTTTGAACATGCTTACTCAGATTTTAAAGACCTGTAAAAGAAAGTTATATTGTGCGTTCATTGATTTTTCTAAAGCTTTCGATAATGTATGGAGGCTTGGACTTTGGCAAAAAATAGTTAACAATGGAATTACAGGTAATTTCTTACGCTTATACAAAACATGTATGCAAATATCAAATCTTGTGTATATTCAAAATATAAGTTTTCAGATTATTTTCCATGTTATTCGGGCGTCCGATAAAACGAAAGTCTTAATATATTTGGAAGTGGCCCTGCCAAAAATTGTAAACTAAAATTTGTCTTTGAACAATCTCCAGTTGAAATTGTAGATAACTATACTTATCTTGGAGTGACATTTAGTAGAAATAGGAAATTTATTCTATCAATCAAAACCGTGCAGCAAGCGCATCCAAAGCAATGTTTTGTCTTTTAAAAAATCTATAAATCATAATATCCCGTTGGACTGTTTACTTAAGGCATTTGATGTTATGATAGCCCAAATTCTTTTCCATTGGTGCGAAACTTGAGCATATGAAAATTTCAATATAATTGAAAAAACACACTTGAAATTTCTAAAATTGGCCAGCGGTTTACGAAACTCTACCCCTACTTTTATGGTATATGGAGAACTCGGAAGATTTCCTTTATGTATCACTGCGGCTAAGCGTATTATTTGTTACTGGCATAAACTTAATCATCCTGGAATGCAGCAGAAATTATCAAAACTGATCAACAATTATGCATATGTACAAAGTATCTTTGAGAATGATTTTGATCCCTGGATGCATCATGTTAAATCTTTATTAGATAAATGTGGCTTATGTTTTGTATTCTATTTAAGAAATAAAGTTCGCTCTACCCCAATGTGTTTTGTAATAAAGTATAGTTTTGCCCTGAACTATTATAATTAAAGCACGAGTGAATGAGTTTAGTTTTACGCCGCTTTTAGCAATATTCCAGCAATATCGCGGCGGGGGAGACCAGAAATGGGCTTCACACTATACCAATGTGATGAATCGAACCCGGGTCTTCGGCGTGACGAGCGATCGCTTTAACCACAAGGCTACCCCACCGCCCCCTATCATATAGTGATGTTACCAGGTGCTGGTGTAAAAGTGAGCGTATCCTGTCCGACCAGTGGCACCCGTCATAAACAAATGCTAAGGCAAGGCAATTATTCAACTGCAAACACTGAACGTGTGGTACACGTCAAAACAGGGAATTTCATCGGACATAATATTTGTCTCTGATGCGCGAAATTATGAAATTTGCTCCACATGTCCACCATAAAAGACTTTGAAAGCTTTACCGAGGCCTTGAATGTTGTACCTTGATTAAACGATACGAGCAAGAGTCGTACGACTTTCAAATCTTAGTCAAGGGAGCATCAGGGTTTTATTACTTCGAATCACAAACATGGTGGTCCCGGACACCCTTAATTATTACTCGTTAAGAATTGTATATTTAGGTAATTTCTTTAGAGCCTGGATTGTGTTATTGATCACGTGGACCACAGGCAAACTGTAGCGCAAATTGGGTTGCGTAATAGATAGAAAATGACCTGTCTTCCTATATGCGAGCACAGCGAACAAAGGTTGGCATTGTACTTCCCTCTCTTCGGTGCGAAAAATATTGTCAACGCGTGGTATATGGTCGACTGGGGAATTAGCTCATGTTTAGGATGAGGTGTACGTACAATACGTTGACAAGACGAAGGAATACGTTGAGTTCAAACTTCTTTAGTTACATGACAAACAAATACACAAGACATAAATGTGGTGAGCGGAGTACCTGCTCAACCCCAGGACGTTTCCTACGAGCGGCATTCACCTGCTCGTGGTCGTCCCTACAGACAGTCGGAATACCGGACTCGTACTCCTTCATTGTCTAGATGTGAGCATACTATATATATAAGTATATCTACAGTTTTTGACAACAATGGACAGGCGATGACTCAACAATGGACAGATAGAAAAAAACAATAGCACTTCCTTGACCAGTTGATGTGATGGCAGACACGGCCAAGGGGGATGACCAATTAGGTTATAAATGTCATATACAGTAATTCATTGCCTGACAAGTCAATGTACAATGCGGAAGTGATAAGGATTGCATAGAATACAGATTAGCATCATATAAATAATTACAATAAAGTCTCACATGTCTTGAGTACATAGTTTTTTACTTTTTAAATATTTGAACGATGGCTGTCCTGAATTAGTCCCTATAACAACTCCCCTCTGCTCCGTAAACCTTGAAACGCTAGTAACTCTGATGTCATCATTATCCTGAATTCATATATTTTATTTGAAGGCAAAAATTACCGTGAGACAGCACGTTCTCAGCTAGTGGAGAATCAAAACATCCCAACCTTCAAATGCGTGGCCAAAACAGAGGAGCTACACCAACAGTGCTTCCCTACAGCCGCCGGACTACCCGGCAGAAGGTGAAGACTCTACCGCATCAGTTCCCCCAACTAACCATATCAACGGTGAATCTCAGGATATTCAGGATAGTCCAAGTGAACGAGTCAACTTAACCCATACAATGCCATCACTACCGATCCTTCTAGCAAAGTTCTCTGGTGCCTCTGGAGAAAATTTTAAAGTGTGGGTGCAGAGACTAAAGGCTACAATTAAGGCCCACAAACTTGATGAGCTCAGTCAAAAACTGCTTCTCCATTCACATTTGGATGGCGAAGCAAAAGTGTTTTTTGACTCACTTTCAGAGGACTTCGAGGAAACTCCTCTAGATAACTTTCTGTCATTGTTGGACAACAGGTGTTCCCCATCAAAATACACCAAGGAAAGTTGGAGACAGTGGATCAATACCTCGACAGGGTACAAAAACGCATTCTGGGAGTCACCATCCAAAAGGATATCCTCGTATCCTATGTCACCAAGGGCTTGCACCCTTCATACCATCTCTGGGTAAGAGGTAAGGATCCACAGTCCCTGGATGAGATAAGACAACATGCCAAGTTCGTTGAACAGCACCACACCATAACTCAGCAAGGAGATTCCAAAGAAGTTGACCAGATAGTCGTTTTAGCATTGGCAGCACACACACAGGCTCAGCAGATGAATCATGGACAGTCACCATATCAATGGCAGGACAACACTAACCAGATGGACCAGTCGCCTTATCAAGGCCAAAATGGCTATAATCACTCACGGCCAGATCGTCCATTGAACAGTCAACGCCCCCATCTATTCCAGTCAGATCATCAACAGATGACATACAATCGCCAAGGCCAACGGCAGCAATCAACCTACATACAGCATCACCCACGACAACAGCCCCACTTCAATGGATCAAAGGGAAATAACTCCAGTTTCAAGAAAGGCAACGGCAGGAGAAGGCGTGAAGATGAACGATGCTATAAATGTGGTAAGATTGAGAGATGTTATCCGCCAGAATCATGCCCCCATTTAACTTTATTTGTGGAATATGGAGGATGAAAGGCCACCACACCAGTCTGCGTAAGAATAAATCTTCCCCAATAGGATAAGGTGCCTGATTCTCATCGAGGTGAGGTCAGGCAAGTTGAAGAAGTTCACTTAGTTGCCCCAATTGACAAAAATACCATATTAGCATCCATTAACTCAGCAAAGATAAAGGCATTGGTAGATACTGGAGCATCTATATCATGTATAAAACTTAGCTATCTTCAAAAAAACAGGTTATTCGCAAGAGCAGTTAGGCCCCACAGATTTCTTGAATGTGACAGGAGTAGGAGGTGAAGTTCATTCAGTGTTAGGTACAATCACACTGCCTGTTAGAGTGGCAAATGCCACTTTTGATCACAAATTTCATGTCTTTTAGTACCTTCACCATGCACTTATCTTAGTCTTTGATTTCATGGAAATCAACAAAGCACATATCGACATTGGTCACGGCACATTTTCACTTTATGATAACCTCTTTTCTGTCAGTCTGGTAGAAACTAACTCTGGCCTTGCTAGATCACTTAAATCTTGCAAACTTGCACCTAAACAAGAATGTGATATCCCTGTCATCCTTTCTCGGACTCCACCAAGAAGTGTTTGTTTACTTGAACCTGTTGCGCAACGCTCATCTCAAATCCTGGGAGCTAAGTGCTTAGTTTTCCTTCATGGCAAGAAAACCAGGATGCGCATCTTTAACCTATCAGAAGAGGAAATATTTATCCCTAGAAACAGAGTGCTAGCAACAGTCTCCCATATTCAGGAAGACTCCATTCATACCTTGACTGATTCCAAGCAGTCAAATGCCATCCCATCTATTGATACTGTTACTGTGAAGTCCAGTGCTAAAGACCATATTCAGTTTGATCTAAGTGATTCCGACCTTTCCGACAATGAAAAACGGCAACTGCATCTGTTCCTGCAGACCGAAAGAGATGTCTTTGCCACAGACTGGAAGGAATTAGGTAAGACCTATCTTCATTATCATTCGATAGAGACAGGTAGTGGTGATCCTGTCGGGATGCCCTTCTACCGACAGTCTGTTCAGATAAGACAGGAATGTGCTAAACAGGTAGAGCAAATGTTGGAAGCAGGTATTATTCAGCCAAGTGAGTCCCGGTGGCGCTCACCAGTAGTTATGGTTGAAAAGAAAGACGGATCCTTAAGATTTGCCGTGGATTATCGAAAATTAAATGCCATCACGAAACCGGTATACTATCCTCTACCAAGATTTGATGATGTCATTGATACAATTGGCCAATCCCAGGCAAAACTTTTTTCTATTCTGGATTGTGCAAGTGGATTCCGGCAAATTCCATTGCATCCTGAAACCAAACACAAGTCGGCATTTATTACACAGGAAGGTGTTTGAATTCAATCGGTTATCTTTTGGCTTAAAGAATGCACCTATGGCTTTTCAGTCAACTTTGGCTCAAGCTCTCCGAGCAATCAATTGGAAATTTGTATTGATATATACTAGCCACATAAAGAAACTGTGTATTGTCAAAATATTATCCCAGTTGATAAGTACGATAACAATGTCAAAGGTACGTATAAACTTTAACGGAGGGATCATAAGACCATAACAAGTCTGGAGAATGTCAATTGAAAAGTCAATCACAATGACGTCACGAGTCCACAAGCGGGACAGGGGTCAAACGACCATGTCACAAGCTCAATAACGGGTATGTCCACCATCGGCATTGAGAACAGCAGTGCATCGACGACACATAGAGCATATCAAACGTGCAAGGAAGGCTTGTGGGATGTCACGCCATTTCTCTTGATTCTCTCAAGTTCTGTTGCAAGGTCAAGGACGTTATCTGTCGGATGAGGAAGACGGCGTAGACGTCGATCCATCTCGTCCCAAACATGCTCTTTCGGGGAGAGATCCAGTGAATTTGCAGGCTAAGGCAGTAAGTCAACGTTGTGGTGTTGCAAGAAATCCATAGCAACGCTTGACGTATGGAAGGGGGAGGGTGCATTGTCCTGTTGGAATGTTAACCCAGGGCCATGACGTTGCAGAAAAGGAATTGCCACAGGTCGAAGAATCTGATCCCTGTAGCCCACACCAGTTAAGTTGCCCTGAACAATCACCAAAGGAGTTCTTTGGCGTGCTGTTATTCCGACCGAAATCATCACGGAACCACCACCAAAGCGATTCCTCTCAAGACACAGGCCTGTGCATAACGTTCTCCCACGCGTCTATAGGCACGTTGACGTCCATCACTATGGGAAATGTTAAACCTGGATTTATCTGTAAAAAACATTTCTCCACCAAAACAAGTGTCTGCGGACATGATTTCGGAACCACATTCGGCGAGCTTGTCAATGACGTTGTGTCAGGATAGGCCGTATGGCGGGACGTCGTGGTCTGATCCCGTGATGACGTAAACGTTGTCGAACTGTGTTGGGATGGATACGGCGAAGTCCTGGGATGGACACAACGTCATCGACAAGCTCGCCGAATGTGGTTCCGAAGTCATGTCCGCAGACACTTGTTTTGGTGGAGAAATGTTGTTTTACAGATAAATCCAGGTTTAACATTTCCCATAGTGATGGACGTCAACGTGCCTACAGACGCGTGGGAGAACATTATGCACAGGCCTGTGTCTTGGAGAGGAATCGCTTTGATGGTGGATCCGTGATGATTTGGGGTGGAATAACAGCACGCCAAAGAACTCCTTTGGTGATTGTTCAGGGCAACTTTACTGGTGTGGGCTACAGGGATCAGATTCTTCGTTTGACCCCTGTCCCGCTTGTGGACATTGTGATTGTGATTGACTTTTCAATTGAAATTCTCCAGACTTGTTATGGTCTCATGATCCCTCCATTAAAGTTTATATGTACCTTTGACATTGTTATCGTACTTATCAACTGGGATAATATTTTGACAATGCACAGTTTCTTTATGTGGCTAGTATATTTGGAGAAGAAAGAAGTGCCACTTGAGTAAACAGAAGCCCAGATTAAAGGATTAGTCGGACGTGCCATGGAATATGACATTGTCAACAAATACACTGTATCATATCTACTCCCCCAAGCACAGAGGTGCTAAACCAGGCAGACCTTCTTCAGTGACACAGTTGGCAGTTCCCACCCAGGACCGTAAAGAACTGCTAGCTGCATATCATGACTCACAAGTCGGGGAAGGGATTCCACAAGACAAGCAATTCAGCAGAAATACTTCTGGCCCAACATGTACAATTAACACTAGGTGTTATAAATAGTGCTAGGAGATAGAGACGGCCGCTCTACTTCACCCCAGACTTATCTCAACCCGTTCTTGTATCTTTTTCCTCAGGTAATCTGAAGATCTGGATCTTTTTCCAATGGCTCATGCTGCTTACTACTTCTACTCTTGCTTCCGATGAGATCATACAGCGTGTCAACTATGGTGTTATTTTCAAACCCATTGCTCATATTCAATTTGCCAGTGAATATCGGCATCATACGTACCAACTTGACACCCCGTCAACGTTTAACATTACGTCAGTCAATGGATGTCATAATGACAATACAACTTGTCATCTTGTTAAATTGATTCAGTCCCAACTCAATTCTATAAAGATGAGATGTTCAACAATGTTGAACGAAACAGTATTTCAAATTAATCAAATACTACAGATCTCATCATTCCCAAAAGGACAAAGGTTCAAACGGGCACTATTAGGCTTTATTGGCCAACTTTCAAAATCTTTGTTTGGCACTGCAACATCTATTGCAGAGGTTAAAACATAGTCGGGCCTTCATCTTGAACACGTTTATTGAATTATTGTCCGCAGACTCTTTTGTACATGACGCCGCAGCGTAGGTAGAATTCAACTTGATACGGTTCAAACTGTATAAATAAAATAAACAATTATAAAAATACAGCTGAACAATTTCCACTGCTAAATCAATATCTTGACTACTCAGATAAACGCAATGTATCTGTAAATATAACGAAAATATGGAACACGAACCCACGTGCCTGACATGACAAAACTGAAATTATTCTAAACTCATATAAATTCATCAAACTTAACACGCTTTGTGACCCTATCAACAATGTTCATCAATATAAATAATAACCATCAACTACTTACAAATTTTTCTTGGCCCCTTGACCCTCTACAAAATTGAATCACCGCAGTGACACCAGCCATGTGCTTTAGTCGACCTCAGTCGCCCGGATCAAACTACAGATAATATATAACTCAATAAGAATAATATCAAAAGTCTCTGAACTGTTCACCGAGTGAGTGAGTGAGTATGGTTTTACGCAGCTTCCAGCTATATTCCAGCAATATCACTGCGGGGGACACCACAAATGAGCTTCACACAATTAGCCCATGAGGGGAATCGAACCCGGGTCTTCGGCGTGACGAGCGAACGCCCCAACCACTAGGCCATCCCACCGCCTCTCTGAATTGTTCACTGAATATCCTCAGTGTTTGATCACATATCAGACAAGTCACTCAGACACTGTTTTGAGTAGACACAGTTTATGCACTGGTCTTACATACGTCGTTCCTCTTGAAGTAAGTTCAACCGTTCTGACAAGACCATCTTTGCCAGGGAATGTTTTGATAACTCTACCCAGCGGCCACATATTACGTGGGGTGTTCTCATTCATCACGAGAACAATATCTCCAACACCAAGGTTGTAGGTCTGTTTGCGCCATTTTGCCTGAACTGTAACGTTGGTAAGTATTCGCTTGCAACCAACGCTTCCAGAAAACATCTGCAAGGAACTGAATATGTTTCCATCGTCGGCGATAGACATCATGTATATGGAATTCACCTGGTGGCATTGTATGACACGACCGCAGTAAAAGTAAATGGTTTGGAGACAGTGGCTCTGGGTCGTTTGTATTGTCTGATACTACTGTAATCGGTCTGCTGTTGACTATAGATTCCACCTCGCAGAATAATGTATGCAGACCATCATCGTGCAGACCATGGTCGCCATTCAACAGCCCATTAAGAACTTTCCTCACCGTTCTTATCTGACGTTCCCAAACGCCTCCCATATGCGATGCTGTAGGAGGATTGAACTCCCAATGAATATTCTTCTGTGTGAGGTAGTTCTGTATTTTGCTTTCATTCCATGAATTGATTGCTTCCCTCAATTCCCTGTGTGCTCCCTTGAAGTTCGAACCATTATCAGATCTGATTTTCTCAGGTTTTCCTCGTCGACTCTCAAACCGTCGTAATGCATTTATGAAAGAGTTTGTGTCCATTGATTCCAGTTTCTCAATATGAATAGCTCTGGTGGTTAAGCATGTAAAGAGACACCCATACCGTTTCACTAGAGCCCGTCCTCTTTTGACTTCAAATGGCCCGAAGCAGTACACGCCGACATAGGTAAATGGGGGTGCCCTGCAGTAACCCTATCAGATGGAAGGTCAGCCATTCTTTGGATATTCTTCAGACCTTGAACACGCTTGCAATGTACACAGTTTCTCAGAATCTCATTTATTGTCGTACGAGCACTGATAATCCAGAACCTTTGTCTCATGTGAGATAAGACATGTTCCCTCCCGGAATGGCCAAGAAGCTCATGATAGTGATGTCCAATCAGCCTGGCAACATGATGTGCTTTAGGAGAATCATCTGATGCTTAGCCTGTTCTGGTATTTCGGCGTACTTGAGACGGCCTCCAGCACACACAATTCCGTGAGAGTTCATCACAGGTTCGAGTCTGTAAATTGAGCTAGTTTTCTTCACAGGGTGACCTCCTGTAAGATCATTGATCTCATCAGAGAAATGACATCTTTGAAGAAACTTCACCACCTCATACTCAGCAGTTCTGATTTCTTCAACAGTTAGTGGATTCTTTGAAACTCTTTGATCAGATTTCAGATTTCTATACCTTATCAATAGGCACTGTTTCAGTCGCAAGATCCAAGCTACAGCTCTCTTTAACTTGTACCATGAAGAGTACCGTTCCAGTAACCTGTTAGTACATCCATGTTTGACATCACCTTGAACAAAGTACACTTTGGGTCTCTTTATTTCCACATCTCTTTCTGGCAACTCAAATGCTTCTAGAATAGTCGGCCATGTAGATTCATCCAACCAGAGGGAAGTCTGGCCCTTTCATCCATCTTTCTTGCGAAATCATCTCATCTGCATTAAGACCTCGGGATGCATCATCTGCAGGGTTAAGTTTGGATTCAACATAACGCCAGTCATCAGCCGTGGATCCTTCATGAATAACAGCTATCCTGTTTGCCACAAATGTATGGAAGCGGTGTGAATCACTTTTAATGTAGTGAAGAACAACCATGCTGTCTGACCAGAAGGTAGAACTACTTATCTTGAGTCTCAGTTCCTGACGTAACATTTGATCCAGTTTTACAGAAATGACTGCAGCTGAGAGTTCAAGCCTTGGGATTGTTATTTGTTTCATGGGTGCTAGCCTGGCCTTTCCCATCAATAAACCTCTCCGTGTAGTTGGCTTGTTCTTTGGCATGATCAGGTATCCAAATTTGTCAGATTCAGTGTTCCAGCTAACGCCTAACGCTCTCGCTCCTGTGGAAGAACATTACTTCCAAGATCAACGTCCTTGAGCTCCTTTGCTCTTCTCTCTGCAGGGATGGAATCTAGTACTTCCCGGGAGTTGCTGATCCACTTGGTAAGTTTGAAACCTCCTCTCAGGAGCAGTTCACACAACTCCTTCACGAGATGAATTGCTTTGGATACAGAGGCTACAGATTTCAAACAATCATCCACATACAGATTTTCCAAGATTGTCCTTATTGTTTCGGGGTTAAAGTCAGCTCTATGGTCCTCAGTAGTGCGTCTCACAGCAAAACTTGCACAACTTGGACTCCAAACGCCCCCAAACAGATGAACTGTCATTCGGTAGATCTCAGGTTGTCTTGATACATCTCCATCAGGCCACTCAAAGAAACCGCAGAGCATTGCCATGCTCTTCGGCAACTCTAACTTGGTGAAACATTGCCTCAATGTCACCCATTATGGCTATATTTTCCTGACGAAATCGAAGGAGAACACCAATTAATGTGTTGGTTAAGTCCGGTCCTTGAAGAACCTCCTCATTTAGACTTGTTCCTCCATAACTAGCAGCACAGTCAAAACTATCCTCAACTTGTCCGGTTTCTTCTCACTGATCACGGCATGGTGAGGGATATACCAAACAGGGCCCTCCTGGGTTTTGTTTCTTCACGTGGAACCTTTTCAGCATATCCTTTACTGAGAAGCTCCTGTATTCCATCTCTGTATCTCTCATGCAGGCTCTTATTCTTGGATAATTTCCTGCCTAGATATTCAAGTCTGACTTCTGCAACACTGTAGTTGTTGGGCATGCTTGGAAGCTCACTTCTGAAAGGTATTCGCATTTTATAATGTCCCTCTTCAACCTCCAGAGACTCCTGCCAAATATCTATAACACGCTTGTCATTAACAGACATTTGTGGTTTACTATCAAAAATGTGTTCACAAGAGTCCAACTTCCAAAATCTCTCAACTGAAGACTCCAAGCTGTGTTCTGCTTGGACAAAGTTTGATACTATCCTTCTTTGGCTACCATATTCTAATGGCCCATTCAGTGTCCAGCCAAATACTGTTCTTGTAGCATATGGCTCATTGTCTTTACCTTTCCGCACGTCAATTGGTACGAGTGCTGAAGGATTGTCTTGTCCAATCAAAAGAGTTATCCTTCCATGATCCAAGGTCGGCAGAGTTATACCTTGTAAATGAGTCCACTTATCAACATCCGTTTGGCTGGCTAAACTCTCAGTCGGAACAGGTAGTTTGGGAATCACAAACACATGTGGTAGTTGTCTGCCATCAAGATCTGTCACGTTTAAACTTACTAAACTGGTTTCAGATTCACAGTTTTCATTGGTCAATGTAGTAAGTGAAAGAGACGTTTTTGTTCCTTTCACATCGAGTTGTTCAATCAATTCTTGTGAACAGAATGTGTTCGTGCTTCCATTATCAAGAAAAGCATACGTTTCAATGAATCCATCCTGACCATTCAACCTTATTGAAACGGGGACAATAGGCAGGGCTGTTCTGGACACGCCGGCCCCATTAACACCACCACCGACAGAATTATGCATTGAATGAGTTTGAGTTCCACATTCTTGTGTCAATGTAGACGTCTGTCCATGTGATGAACCAACACCACGTCCACCAAACTTTACCAATGTCTGTAAGCCATCGTGCAGCAATCTGGAGTGCTTGCGATTGCAACCATCAACTTGACACCGACTTGGTTTGTTACAGCTGTAAGACACATGTTGAGTTGAAAAGCAATTAAAACACATCTTATGTTCCCTCACAAAGTCCAACCTTTTCTGTGGAGTCATTTCTTTGAATTTGTTACACACATATATGGCATGATTTCCCAAACAACACTTACATGCAGGCCATCCTCCAGTCCTGTACTGATTGTTTAGGTTCTTGTAAGAGCTACTACCAGCTGAGATGCCAGCTTCCTTGCTAGCTTGAACGTTAAAGCTGGACACAGCAGATTTTCCAGAGTTAGGCTTTTGGGGTTTTCCTTTTAAGTCCTTTGAAGTTACACTATCTGTACCAAAGGCCGGATCGGTTGCTTCTTCCGCAGCTGTCTCAATAAATTCTGATAGAGCTTCAATACCAGGGTAATTGCCTTGAACTTTCAAGGTATGAACTGCTTGCTTTCTCCATCTCCCTTGAAGATACGAAGGTAATTTTCCAATTATCTTCCCCATTCTGACTTGATTGTCTATTTCATTCAGTCTACCCATGGCAGTCAAAGTGATAACACAGCTTCTAACAGAGTCTGCATATCTCCTTAATTCTGAACTGTCACCATATCGCAAGCTTGATCCTTCAGTGACCTTTTCGACCCAAGCCTTTGATATTACATATTGGTTGCCAAAACGTTCCAACAATAGTCTTTTAGCTTCAGGATATCCTACATGTGGCTCCATCACAGCACAGCATTCAATGACTCCGAGCTTTACCGGTGCAGTACTGGAGAAGACGAGTAAGCTTTGCACTATCACTGACATTAGTGTTCCCAATGCTGTTGTCAAATGAACGAATGAAAATCCAGTATTTCAGAGGATCCCCATCAAACTTCATAAGCTCTGTTTTGGGAAGCTGAATAACATTCAACATCTGGTGTTGCATGTAGAGCATTTTATCATCAGTTGTCATATTGTCACCTGTCACTTCACACGGGCCATCCATGATACCATGTTGACCCTGTTTCTTTACCTGCTGTTCCTGTTGATTATGTTTTGACAAGGTTGGATTATCACCCCTATCTGATAGATAAGACTTCCGGTGTGGCCCTCCTTTGCCAAAGGATCTAAACGCTTATCCTTCTTTGCCAGACCCTTTCCCTGTACCAAGCCATCACGAGTTAAGCCTGTATCATGCAATACATCAGTGTTATCCCTTTTCTGTGAGACATTACTTCTCATTTCTTCATAAACTTGTTCTTCTGCTTCAGCAGCTGCTATAATCTGTCTCTATTTGAAGAGTTTCGTGTAATTGTTCCAACTCCAGCTGTTTGAACTTCAGTTCATGTTGTTTCTGTAATGCTGCTGCTCGCACACGTAAAGCAGCTTTCTTTGCAGCAGCCTTCGACCTTGAACTTACAGAAGTATGACTTCCACAAGCCTGACTTGCAGAATCTTCTGGGCGCACATCCTCTATATCATTTCCTGGATTACTTTGTGAAGTTAGCCTCCACACCGTAATGTCAGTCATTAACTGTTCATACCTATCTCTCACCTGAATGTAATATGTCTCGGCTTGACTATATTCAGCAGGGTCATTCATAACAAGATCTTTCAATTGCATAGTTTTCTGTACAAGCTTGGCCATTATTCCTTCAATATTGTCCTTTTCATTGTCTACTAAGTCAACCAAAACCACAGTGGCCTTTTCACGAAGTTTGTCCCTCAGGTAATTCTCCGACTTAGTATATGAAGACATTATTCCTCCCCTTTGTCTTCTTAATTGTGTAATTGTCTCTGCAATCACACGACCTTCATCAATGTCAACGCTAACGTTTTCCATTCTGGTACGAGTATTAGTACACTCTTCGATATCACTTTGGCTGTCAAACATCCTGATTGAAATGTTTATAAATCCTTGAAAATTTTTTGAACTTTATTGCAGAGGTTAAAACATAGTCGGGCCTTCATCTTGAACACGTTTATTGAATTATTGTCCGCAGACTCTTTACATGACGCCGCAGCGTAGGTAGAATTCAACTTGATACGGTTCAAACTGTATAAATAAATAAACAATTATAAAAATACAGCTGAACAATTTCCACTGCTAAATCAATATCTTGACTACTCAGATAAATGCAATGTATCTGTAAATATAACGAAAATATGAAACACGAACCCACGTGCCTGACCTGACAAAACTGAAATTATTCTAAACTCATATAAATTCATCAAACTTAACACGCTTTGTGACCCTATCAACAATGTTCATCAATATAAACAACAACCATCAACTACTTACAAATTTTCTTGGCCCCTTGACCCTCTACAAAATTGAATCACCGCAGTGACACCAGCCATGTGCTTTAGTCGACCTCAGTCGCCCGGATCAAACTACCGGCCGGGACCACTTAAAATCCGGATCCTTACCGGCGGCAACATAAACAAAGCCCGGATCAGTTTACCGGTAAAACCAAATTAATTTTTATCCTTAACATTCTTAAAAGTAAATATAAATGTTTCAAATTGTTACAAACTGATCTACAGTTTTCTTACAATAATGCTAAGTTCTTGTATGCCAGGACAAAATCAAACAAACTATGCGTAGCTGTCAAATTTCCATTGGCACCAACTGATGTTTCCTTTAAACTGTACAAAATCATTTCGATGTCAGTTCCTGTAAATGAATCTACTAGCCATTCTACACAACTACTTAATTTGCAACCTTTTCTTGCAACTTCTCTTAACCAGCAATATTTCACCACTCTCAATTTGGACCAGGTTTCTCACTGGTCACTGTTATGGCACTTCTACCTTACACTGTCCCTTTAGACTAACCCTAGCCACCAGAACACAAACGTCCTGTGAAATGGCATTATACCGTAATAGCAAAGTGGAAGTCAAAGCACAGTGTAATGTTAGGTTCCTTCAGCAGGAACAAAATTACTTGTCTATAACTCTCCATTACTAACCCTCACTTGCCCTGATGATCAACGAATCATCACAGGTTGTTCCTTTTGCATGATCGCACTGCCATGCTTATGTTCTGTCTCAACACCGAATCTCATCTTTCCTGCTCTTCTAGGAACTTGTCAAAACCTTACTCACGAGGATATCACCTACCTACATCCCTACTGCACTTTTTCGAGGAATCAACTTTAGATACTATTACTGGTAATACCTTATCTAATGAACCAGTTCAAGTCACGATTCCTGATTTTCATCTTTACACGAATCAGTTTTCGAAAGTTATTGCTAATGATCATAAGGATCACCTTAGTCTTAAGCGTATGGCTAAGAGTGTTAAAAAGAATGAGGTTATCTTTCAAAGTTTGTCCTGGTTAGATCTAAGTTCTATTATCCCTATAGTTGCTGCAGTACTATCAGTCCTAGCCATAGCTGCAATTATTTGGATGTTCTTTAAGATCAGAGCTTTAACTGTCACTATCACCATTTCTTCAAGCTACTGTATCAGTTAACTCTACCCCTATCCCCTCATTCGAATATCATAACCCAACCCCACAACCACCCAGCAATATGTACACAATACTTAATACCATGTATGACCACATTCAGATGATATTTGTTTTCATATTATTCGTACTTATTTTGATCATTATATATAAATTATTTACCAAGAAATCACACCACACCCTCATTTTGTTGGAACTTACTACCGGCTCATTATGTGAAGTAGTGCCAATAATGTCCCTCTCATTGTGTCCGTCATAC